ATGCTCTAAGTGGGTCCTTTTATCTGGAGGTGAGCTGAGAGGTGGGGAGACAACAGAGAAGAGCAGGAGCCACCATGGTCTCCTATGTCTTACGGAGTTTGTTTGATTTGAGTTCCCATAAAAATATCTCTCTGAGCCAGGCCTTTGCTGGCACACAGCTTTAATCCCAGAACTTGGGAGGCAGAAGCAGGCAGGTCTCTGAGTTTGAAGTCAGCCTGATCTGCAGAGTGAGTTCCAGGACAGCAAGGGCTACACAGAAAAATCCTGTCTCAAAAAACAAAACAAAAACAAAAACCTCTCCCTGTTATAGAAAGAAGGAAGGCAATGTAACCTCTAATAAATGACAAGATTTTCCAAACTTGGTTTGATCTCTTTAAAAACCAGTGTATTTAAGGGTTTTTGTTTTTTGAGTTTTTATTGATAGTGAGCTAAATAAGACAGCCTGAAAGCATATGCCCTGCCAGTCTTTGACATACATTGCAATATGATTGGGTTACAGCTCAAAAAACCAGGCTCCTGCATCTTTCACCTACCTCTAAAAAGCAAAGGCCAGAGGGACAGTCAAGAATGGTACTGTTAGTATTTAGGCACCTGCTTCTGGGTTGCCTAGCAACCTAAGATGTCATCATGTGTTGCCGGCCAGGTGGCCAAATCTGGCTGGCATGATTACTTTGCTCCTTAAAAGGATCAACCCACTATTTTGTCTCTCTCTCTTGGCTCTCTCAGCTCTTGCCCTCTCCCCTTTCTCTGTCGGGGTTCTTCCTCCCTTCCCCCCATCATGTCTCCCTCTCTTCTCTCTCTCTCTTCACCTCCATCTAATAAACCTCTTTCATATAAAATCTGCTGTGCACCTCATCATTCATTAATTTTTTCCAACAGGTATGATAGAGATGACGAAGAAGTGAGATATCTATCCTACTCCACAAATATTTCTGAAACACCTAACTTGAGCAGCACTGCAGCACAGACATAGTGGTGGCTCTGCCTCTCAGGCAGTTAGGATTGAAGTTCACGCAGCAAGCACTATCAATGAATGGCACCTGGGGGACTTCTAACCCACCCCGGGGAAGTTGCGCTGAGCACCACAGAGAAGAGAATGTCGCTCAAAGTCCTAAAGAATCAGCTAGCCTAAACGACTGAGGACTAGGCAAAGGGAGCAAAGGCACCAGAGAATGGAACAGTATGAGGTATTTTGAGGACTTGGACTTGTTCAGTTTTGCCTGGGGGTTGATCTGAGAGGTAGAGGATGAAAGAGGTGACTGAAAAAGCAGAGCAGCGGAACAGGAAGACTCCCCTCCACCAAGCAGTGGGGTATGAAAGGAAGCAACATGCTTCCATAGGAATTTTAGATTAACCCATGCTGTCATCTCAGAGGGTAAAAAAGGCAAAATGTCCGTTCAGGATGCTGTAGTAGGAAGGTAGACAGGAATCTAAAAGATGTATGAAATGAAGCAGAATTCAGGATCCCAAAGAAACCTTAACAGCTATGGCTCAATGACGCTCATCAAGAATGCAAAGACAATTCACAGGGAGGACAAACAGCATTGTGGGAAATGGTGCTGGGACAGCAATGGCCTGAAAGAATGAAGTGAAACCCCTACATCACACACACAGAGAAAACATTGCAAGGTGGATTACAGGTATAAAACAGGAGAGGTCAAAGTACATAATTACCAGGAAAGGAAACAGGAGTAGGTCCCTATAACCTTGGATTATGCGATTACTTAACTAGGATGCCAAGAACACAAACAACAACAACAAAAGACACACAGGGATTTATCCAAATCTAAAACGCTAAGCTTCAAAGGAACCTATCAAGAAAATGAAGAGATGTTGGGTATGATGGTGGATGCTTTAATCCTACCATGTGGACAGAGGCAGGTGAGATCTCTGTGAGTTTAAGGCTAGCATAGTGTCCATAGCAAGTTCCAGGCCAGGCAGCGCTACACAGCGAGACCCTGTCTCAAGGCGAAAGAGGGGTAGCAGGTGGCAAAAGAAGAGGGAGAAGAAATCAGAAAGAAGAGGAGAAGACGTTAAAAAGACTGCATGGAGGATAAAAGAAAATATTTTTTAATCACATATCTATATGTCTTAGGGACTAGGGTCCAGAACACATATAGATCAATAGTAGAACGTGAGAGGGCTCAACTAAACATTTCTTCACCGAAGATATACAAATGACCAATAATCACATGACGAGATGCTTTGTCTCACTGTCACAGTAGAAATGCTAGTCAAACTGTAAGAAGAAACTGCTTCACACTCTCCCTAAAACGGCTAAAGCGAAAAGACCAACAATGGTGATAAGCATTGATGCAGACACTGAAAAACTGGAACCCTTGGGATATCGCTGATGGGAATGTTTCAGTTGATAGAGCCAATCCTTTATTTTATTTTATTTTTTTTGAGCCAGTCCTTTAAAAGGCTGCTGGTATTGTTACTATATTTTATGAATGGATGCTTTGCTTGCGTGTATGCTTGTGCATCACAGGCATGCCTGGTGCTCATGCGGCTCAGATCCTCTGGCACTGGAGTTAGAGATGGTTGTGATCCTCTTCAGGTGCTGGGAATTTAACCCCAGTCCTATGGAAGAACAGAAAGCAACAGTTTCCTTGTGCACTGAGCGAACAGTCCTTGGGGCTGCGTCCTGGTGTGTGCAGGCCTCTGCCCCAGAGGATGTGACGGGGAGCCTGCCTGTGTGGGATCCTGCATTGTATTTCTTTGTTGCCAGGCAGATGAGAAACATCTTTTACTGTATTGGGTTACTTGCCAAATTCGTCTAAAAGGAGACTAGAACGCTGATCTCTTTACTCTATTGCACAGTTTTCTGGAGTAAACAAACTCTTAGGCTTAGTCCTCTTCTTTAGACATCTGCTTGCACATACTCAATACATGCAGGCCGATGTGTCCACCCAGGGCAGACCTTCCTAGGCGACCTGCTTCAAAGCCCACTGATCAGGAAACAAGAAGCTGCACCTTGGTGTTCTGTGATGCCCAAAACTGCCTGACTTCCAGGAAGCCCCAGTCACCTTCGTAGCATTGCCAGGGGGCCCCTGGGTGTCCACTTGAGAACAGAGGAAGATGTTCAACTCACTTGGCTCTGCCGATGAGCCTGAGCTGGAGTGGAGGGCTCCCCTTTCCTCAAAGACCCTTGACTGGAGGAGAGGATAAAGCTCTCCCAAGGCACTTCAAAAAAGGCACAGCAAAGAAATCATTTACGCTCGGCTGAGTCTACAGGTGTGAGTGCTGTGGGGATGGCGGATGAAGGTCCCCATTCCAGAAGGACATGACATACTCAGAAGAAACAGGACCTTCCAGGTTTCAGGCTTGAGCATCAGAAAACAGAAGAAATTGGAGCGCAAGATTATGGAAGCATTTCCCTTTTACTTGCCTCTGTTTGATAAACCTCTGAGCCTCTGTTCCCTGCCTTTGATTGTTTTGTCTGTCCATTTCCTGCTAAGAGTTGACAAAACAGCATTCCTGAGTAGGAAGATAAGAAGCGCCTATTTGCTGAATAACATCGGGAGGAAACTGCCAGCTCAACCATTTTGTTGTTTAGTTGTTCAAAAGGTTCAAAATACCAATTAACTTGCTGGCTCAGAAATCTTTGATACCCTGAGATTTACTGACATTTTTTGAAACTCTCGTTCATATCTGCCTAATGGTTTTCTGATCATGAACAAAGAGGTACCAGTCTGCTTAGCATTTGACCTGTTTTCTTATGTTTTCATGTATTCAACATTTTTGTGTCTAAAAATAGTTATATTCATGAGCTAAAATTATCTTTGCTCCCCCCTTGTACATCTCCAAATTTAAGACTGAAGAAAAAAGGGGGAGGAGGGCTTAAAAATACAGTTAATTTTTTTTTCTTTCTTATTTTAAATTTAGAAGATTTTATTGCAAGAACTTTTCCCCTTTTACTTTTCCATGGAACTTAGTAGAGTTCGGAAGATTTAATGAAGCAACCTAACATGTACATATATATATTCAAGGTGATTTTTCAATATATATTTTTAATTCCATTTATAACACATATGTATTCTGATATACATCAGAACAGGAATAAAAGGACAATGCAGATGAGGCAGACTTTTTAAGATTTTTCTCATCCTTTAATAGGTGTGCTTCTTTCTCAAAGGTGGGTTTTGTTCTTGTCGTTTATTATTTCTTCAGCAGAAGTCCTACCTGTGACTACATGGCACCCAAGAAGCGCTTGAACCAGCTGTGGACAGAAAAGCAAGCTCGGGTCCTTAGATAAGTCAGCTTCTGGGTTTGAAAACCCCTACTCCCTTGCACTTGGCATTTCAGAATAAACATGGACCGAATGCATTGAACTGGGGACATGAAAATGTGGAGGGGGAAGCCGGCTTGCTGGGGTTCAAATCCAGGCCCTTCCATTTATACGGTGCGATCCTGAGAAAGTCACATCGCTTGTTCCTACGTTGCTTAACTTTCAAGCAGAGAAAAGAGTAAAGCTAGCTCACCAGATTGTTCTATAGATAATCTGCACACTTAAGACGAGTGCTTAAAATGCCCTGGATCTTAGAACATCTTGGGTGTTGATTAGCAAGGTCCTAGTGTACTGCCCCAGACCTTGGGAGCAGAGAGGGTGCTAGGGCACACTCAAGACCTCCAGAACGTCGCCCCCCCACCCAGGAAGGGTTGCTTCTGTTACCACAGTGCAATATCCAGAGAATCTGAGACCCAAGAATTCATAATATAAAATATTTATGAACATTTTTTAAAATGTGATCAGAAGTCAGCCTGGCTTGTTCTTGAGTTTTCTGCAGTATAGTTGGAGCACAATTTTAAAAAATGCAACATTTAAACATGTAAATGGCATCTGGTGTTACTAACAATTGCATATTTACAAGGCAGTTCTGGGAGGGGTCTCGGGAGAAGGAGGGGTCTCGGGAGAAGGATGGGTCTCCCAGAAGACAGAGGCAGACAGAATGAAGCTAATGTACAACATGAACACGGAAGGAAGGATACCAGCTGACCTTTTTACAAACTCTTCAAAGACGATGCGGTGAGAGTAGCCCTGCCTGCGGATGCTGACGGTCTCCAGGATCCCTGTGGAGCGAAGCTGGGCCAGGACTCGGTCTCGGGAGAACTGCAGGGCCTTGCGCTCATCGTTAGGCTTAATGCAACGTACAAAGTGGGGCTGTCCAACCACCATTTTGGAGAGCAGGTCCATCAGGGAATACTAGCAGGGAGAGAACAGAAATGAAATGAGAACCGAGGCACCACACTCAGGGGCCTGCTGTGGCCTTCAGAGCAGGGGGTGGGGCTTGTGAGGCGCCACAGATCGTTAAGGAAGAACATGAAATCAGCAACGGGAGATGGGCAACGTCATCTCTCCCCCCAGCTGCATGCAGGTTGAAATCATTCTTTAAACATCTGGTGCCAAAGCAGTATCTGTACACGACAAACCCCTTTAGGTTAGCCTGGAATGGCCTCTACTATCCAAAACAGCGATGTATTATACTGTAAAACACCCAGCTCGGGGAAGTGCTACCTGTTATACTCACCTGAGAACCACCAGAAAGTCACAGCAAGTCATAGTGATAACAGTGGTAATAAGGATGAGGGAGGGAGAGGGAGGCAGGGAAAGAAGGAGGTGGAGGAAGAAGAGGAGCAGCAAGAGGAGGAGGAGCAGGAGGAGAAGGAAAGAAAGATTATTAGAGGAGAAGATTATGATGAAGGTGAACTATTCCATACCTTGCAGAGAAGGAAAAGCATGAACAACAGGAAGGGTGCCTGTGGCATTTGGGGGGGGGGTTGTTCCCCAGGGTTGTCCATTGTCTGAGCTCTCTGAGGCAATTACAGGCCACACAGGAAATGAGTTCCACTCTTCTTAATGATCAGAAGTGGTCTTAACTAGCTAACCAAAGTATCTTGCTTTTCTGCACTAGCATTTAGAGACCAGTATTTTGAAGATACCTAACTGGTTTGTGTGGTCATATTTTTGAAATCTATAAGGTAGAGACTTGACCTCTGATGCCTATACTGTGAATATTGACGATGACATCACAGTCAAAGAGCCTCCAGATCTCAAGGGGAAGCGCGCACACACACAGACACACACACAGACACACACACACACACACACACAATACACAGATGCATGCACATACCAAGGGTTACTAGGAGGACAAGAATGTGACTGATAAGGAATACAGGACAAGGATTTGAAAGATAAGGAGGAAACAGCAATCGTCAGTAGCCGATCAGAGAAGTTCAGCAGGCGATGAACACTGCGGGCTGTGGGAGCTGTCACAGGAACTGCAGTACTCCTGGAGTCCTGGACTCCGAGGTCTGCAGCCCCTTGGCTGATGCTGTGAGCCTCGTTCTACTCTGCCTCTGAAATACTACCATCTCTGTCGGACCCTGATAGCTTTCCATTAACTGGCATCTGTGTTTGGTCCTGGACCCTCTCACATCCGCACCTCACGTGGTGTGATGGTTTGAGTAAGACTGCCCTCCACACAGTCATATATTTGAATGTTTGGGCATTAGGGAGTGTCACTGCTTGACAACGATTAGGAGTTGTGGCCTTGTTGAAGTAGGCGTGGCCTTGTTGGAGAAAGTGTTACTTGGGGTGAGCTTTGGGGTTTCAAATGCTCAAGCCAGGCCCAGTGTTTTTCTCTTCTGGCTGCCTGCTGATATAGATGCAGAACCTCTCCAGCTCCGTGTCTGCCTGATAACCGCCATGTTTCCCCCCTTGATGAAGTGGACTAAACCTCTGAAGCTGTAAGCCAGCTCCAATTAAATGTTTTCCTTTATAAGAGTTGCCATGGTCAGAGCATGGTTCGGGGCCACATGCCTGTAATCCCAGCACTCAGGGAGGCAGACGCAGGCAGATCTCTGTGAGTTTGAGGCTAGCCTAGCCTAGAAAGTGAGTCCAGGCCAGTCAGAACTACACAAAGAAACCATGTCTCTAAGAAGAAAAAAAAAAAAAAAAGAGTTGCCATGGTCATGGTATCTCTGCATACCAACAGAACATTGAATAAGATATACGGCAAGTCTAGGACAGTCCTTTCTGGAAGCAAGGAAAGCATAGAAAAGCCAGCCTTCATACCCGGAAGTAAGAAGCCATGGTTTGTCTCTTCATGTTAGTGGTTTCTTCTGGATGACGAATCACCTCCAGCGTGTCTACCTAAAGGCAAAGGAAGAGGGAAGTAGTTTGAGGATATGGACAGTTTTTTCATTTTTTCAAAACCTGAAAAGCTGTTTAGTCGATCACCTCAGGGAGTGACGTATTTAGGAGATAATTATGAACACCGTGAGGAGAATTCTGAAAGACATTTAGAGGAGGCTGGGTAGGAAAGGAAAGATGTGTAACATTCAAGGAAACTGGGCAAAAACCAGAGGCATGGCAGAGGCCATGCATTTGTACAGACATGGCCCCTGGATAGTTGTCTTCTGGTCACTGTGATAAGCCTCTCAAAAGAAGCAACTTGTGACTTCTGGTTTGAGGGGTCCAGGGGTAGAACTCCATTGTAGTAGGGGAAGTGGCAGGTGAGGAAGTCACTTGATGGTAGAAGTATGAGGTGGCCTACTCACATCTCCAGGGTCAGGAATAAAGGTGCAACCAGGCTAGTCTGTCCTATTCAAGGCCATACTCTAGCAACCCACCCGTTCCTGCTAGACTGACTCTACCTCCCCAAACACCCCCAACTAGGGACCAAACTCATGAGCTTGTGAGGGACATTCCACATTCAACCCGAGTCCTATTGTACTGGAGGGAATCGGGCCAGCACCAGCTATACACCAACCCTCAGACCCTGATACTCAGCCTGCTCCTACCACCACAGTTCCCGAGTGCTCCCTTCAAGCAGGAGTTGGGGCACCACATCAGTCAGTCAGGAAGCTCCCAACAGTATAACCTGTTGCCAACCGTCTCTGCAACTACCTAGGCTGATGGAGAAGGAACTTCAGAATAGAAATGATTACAGCAGTAGACGACAAGAAGCCCATTTCCTTATCGTAGCTCAAGAACAAAACTCTGCTTTGGCTAGGGGAGGGCTGACGGGCATTTTGGGGCCAGTCTCTTGCACAGGTGTGGAGCCTCCCATCTGATCCAAACAGAAGCAAGAACTTTTGAACGGGAAGTTAACTGTTGTCAACATGTGGTTTCTCCCCGGGGGACTGCTGTTCGGGTCCATCCTCCCCATGAGGAGAAGACTCCAGTTCCCTGGAGTTGAGCAGGGTTCCATCTATACATAACCCCATGCACGGAATTCCAGATGGATGCCAACATCAAAGTGAATACCAAGCATACTGTACACGGAATCGCTCGGCCCACATTATTATTATCCCATTTTACATATGAAAAAGGTAAGGCCACAGGTTTCTAGGGAAGCGTCCTACAGTCTCGCAGCCAGGGTATGCTGTGTCCAGGACTGAGACCTGCTGATTTCTAAGCCTTACTTCTTGACACTATACACTGCCATCTGTGAGGTTTGATGGAACTTACAAAGCGGAAGCCTGAAAGTATGGCATAATCACAAAGATTTGCCTCATCTGTCAACCGAATTCACTCTGCCATAAAGATATGGATTCCAAACAGTCCCATAAACCAGCCAGAGCTCAGCAGTAAAGGAGACGCTGAGGAATGTTCTCCTGGTCTGGGTAAATTCGCACCATCTGCAGCTGAAAGTGCAGAAGTGTCTCTAATCATCTTCCTGACAAGGCCCTTCGTCGAGGATTTTTACTACCATCAAGTGATAGATATACCCAGCTCTTAAGAAGAAAGAGCCCTACAGTACCGGGCCTCTAGAAGGCTCTGTTCTGCCTTGCCAACAGCCTATAAGTGCTGGTGCAGCCAAGGTGGCAGACGCGCGCGCGCACACACACACACACATACACACACACACACACACACTCACTCACACGTCTATGCAAACAGCAGAACCAGGAAAGCCTCTTGGGTTTTTTTTCTTTTTTTTTCCTTTGAAGCATTCCATAAAGCCGAGGCAGGTCACTCTCTGACCTCCTCCCTCCCTTGAAAGCATGCAGGTATCTTACCTAATACACAAGGAAGGATTCCACACAAGCCACCAAAGAAAGGGCTGACCCCTGCCTGTCTGATTAGACACAGGTTTCCCTGTGCCTTTGCTTCCTCATTGGCCATGTCCCATGTCTGTCTTTTGAAAGGGGGCTGTAAACCAGGAGCTTGATGATGGGTGACAAACACACAGGGATCTTTTTATCCTACACAGCCCAGCTTTACCAGGGGCCGCTTCCATCGTGTCCTCTTAGATAATGTAGAAGCCAAATGTTAACTTTTTGTTTTGCTTTGTTTTTCTGAGGTAGTCTCACTAGCACAGGCTGGTCGTGACTGTAGAATGGCCCTATCTCCGTGACTCCAGGACTGGATTACAGATGTGACCCCCATGCTTGCCTGTGCCTGCTTGTTTGCTTATTTATTGCTGTGGTCTTTTATATTTTTGAATGCCTTAACCAGAACTTCAGCTCATCCCCTTTCAAAGAATAAACACCCTCCAGCCCTGTGTACTCATCACGTATATCCTCGTAAACATACACCACACATGGAGCACGCACTTCTCAGGTGGGCAGGCCTGGACAATGCTCCATGGAGCAGGGAGGGGGATGGCTCCATGTTGGATTCTAGGTGTGGAGAGCAGAGGCACAGGCCCTAACAGGATTCCAAATTCAGAAATCAAAGAAAGGAACGAACTCTGGACAATAGGGAATCTTCTTGTGTTGTGATCTCGTTTTAGAATTTTTATAGAAGCCAATAACACTACTGGGTGTGGTGACGCACATTTGTGATCCCAGCATTTGGGAGGCAGAAGCAGGCAGATCTCTGTTAGTTCAAGGCCAGCCTGACCTACAAAGTGAGTCCAGGACAGCCAAGGCTACACAGAGAAACCCTGTTCCGGAGGGGGTGGGGCGAAGCACACATAGAGACCACAATCATATCATGGAGATTCTCAATGTGTTTATTTGCCTACCTGCTAAGATTTCATTGCAGCCAATGTCAATCATTAATGCTTTCCTGGTCATTCACGGAATATACCTAGCAGTGAAAAGTCAGGGTCTGCTGGTGCCCAGCTTTCCGGTCAGAGTCAGGGGGTCAGAGCTGCCTCGTCCAGCTCTTCTAACGCAGGCAAGGGGCCACTCTCAAGGTCAACTTAAATGCCTGTGGTTTTGCACTTATACGTGCTTTGTTAGTAAGTTTTAGCTCCGGGGGCCATTCCCTGGGCCCTTGTCTGTGAGTTTAATGACGCAAATGCTGCAAGGGAAATATGGCTTTTATAAAACCACTGAACAGAATCAGCTATAAAATGTGTGTGTGTGTGTGTGCGCGCGTGCCTGCATATGTGAACATGTGTGCCTGTGCGCATGTGTGTATCTGTAAGTATGTATGTCTATGAGTATGTGTGTGTGAGTGTGGGGGGGGAGTGTGTGTGTGTGTGTGCACGCTGAGGGTTAGGTTGGCTCTGACCACACTCTTGCTGGACCCTAACCCTGTATTACCCTCTAGGGGCAGTGGTTCTGCGTTGCCGCTTGCAGTGACTTTATAGATCTTACAAATAATGAGAATCGACTGCAGTTAATAAAACAACGCTCTCATGTAAAATCAGGAAGTTCTTAAGAGTACCTACAGGCTTACGCACATCTCCCCCACAGGTCCATACAGCCACGGTCCTGATATCTTGCCACAGAGAAGCAAGATGAAAATTAGGGGCTCAGATGGGTCACAACAGCAATGTGGGCATAAACATTAGCATTAGATAAAATCTTTGGAGTCCTACTATGAGCAAATGAATTTTTTACTCTCAAGAAAGTAAATATAAATATGTGAATTCGTACCAGTTCTGGAGTAACAGTTAATGGGGTTAGACATGATCATTTTAGTCATCTTTATTAACTATGTTAATGTGCTATATAAGTAAAAAAGTAAGAAAGTTCAGGGGTGTGGACTACTTACTACTCCAACACCTTGGAGAGAATTGGTTTTGGAGTTAGGATGTAATTTTTTCCTATTCTTCTGGGGTGTATCAGAAGACATGCCTGAAACTGTGGACCTCATCAGACCCTACGGATACTATGCTTTTTCCTATGCGCACATCTGTATGACAAAGTTTAACTTATAAATTAGGCACAGTAAGAGATAAACAACCACAACCAATAATTCTAAAGTCAACAGTTCTAAAATTATACTGTATTAAAGGTACGTCTCTTACTTTCCCTGTAAGGAAGCTTCTTTTTTGGCATATCACATTTGCCAGCATCGCTATTCTGATGTTTGAGAGACAGCACCAAGAGAAATAACATGAGAGCTCACACTGTCATTAGATGATAGAACACTTAAAACTTACAAACTGCTTAATTATGAGATTTTGTATTTTTTAATGTGAATCAGAATTGACCACCGGGGGCTAAAGCCACAGAGAGCCAAACTACAGCCTGGTGGGGTACTATCTACACAACAGACATCAATCAGGTGGCCTTGAAGCCCTGTGTAAACATCAGTTGGAAGGGCAGAACAGCCAGGTATTATTTTATGGCTGGAAATTTATGAACCACCCCCTCCATCACGGACCCTGCGTAACTCATTTTCAGAGGACAAGAAAAGATTTGGTTTGTTTTCTTTTCCCTCCTTGCTGATTCTATCTGGTGTCACTTACCTTCTGCAGGTTGGTGATAATCTAATGGAAAACTGCCTTCTCTCTTCCAGAAAGACTACATGGGTATGTCACTATTCTATACATTAGGTATTTTTTTTTTCTGACATCATGATTGCAATGATTCCACAATTCAAATTTCCCACATTTTCAAAATTCCCCTTGTTCCCTGAACACCTCCGGTCACTGGTGCAGACGGCTTAGGCAGCGGCAGACGGGCAGAAGCGGTGTGGCTCACTCTGGCGTTAGCACCCTCCCAACCCCAGCAGAGGCACAGATCCACGGCTCACCTTGGCTCTCCCAGTGCTGAAATGTGGAGGCAAAGATCTTGAGGATGCTGTAATCCTAGCTCGTGATTGGGCCAAATTACCTGAGCAAAAAAGACAAAAAGAAATTTAAACTGAAGGAAAAGTTAAGAAACCGAGTTACAGATAATATCCACTTTTACGTCCTTGTATTCTTCTGAGTTTTCTGATTGTGCTTGGAAGAATTTTTAAAAATGAGAAACTTTTCAGCTCGCATGATGGCTCAGTGGGTAAAGGCGTTTGCTATCTGACAACCTGAGTGGAATCCCTGGGTCCCACATTGGTGGAAGGAGAGAACTGACTACCTCAACTTGTCCTCTGACCTCCATATGCATGCTACAGTATTCCTGTGCCTTCACTCATTCATATGTACGTGTATGTGTGTATGTATATATGTCTACATATAAGTACACACATATATATGAATACATATACATATATGTATCCAACATTTAGCCTGTACAAAGCTCGGGGTTTAATCTCTACCATAATAATAATAATATAGTTTTGTGCATGGAACTATATATATTATTGTATAATATATACATACATGCATATATTATATTATGCAACATATATAATCTGTATCATGTATTTATATATATATAAATGCTATACACATATATGCATATGGTATAAATTGCCTTCTGGCACTTATACACCTATATGTGGAACCTAAATCTTGTGGTTTAGACTTGGTCCCATCCCCAAGACAGCCTGTTATGCAGATGCAAATATTCCCAAATCTAAACCCCAAATTTTTAAAATCCCAAATCTGAAAGGCTTCTGCTCCCAAGCTCATGGACAAGTGACCGCTGTTATCATTGGCTGTGGACGATTCATGTGGGACGTAAAGCAAAGAAGGCGCGAGAAGACAGGCAGCCTCTCCACTCCCTCCGTGAGCATCAGTTAGTGAACAGCAAGTGTGAACAGACAAGGCCAGCTCCTGGCTCTGCTCATTCCATGGTTTGCCTTTGAGGGCTGAGGAGGTGTGTGAAGACATTTGTTTGCGTTTTTCCTTACAGAGTCATTTGATTGTGTAACAGAGCGAAAACTCATCAATGAAAGGAAAGTCTGAGCTGTGTGCATATATGCAAGACGCTCAAGATTTCAAAGTTTTAGCAAGTCTAGCCCAGAGATGTCCAAATGTTTTCTCTGGTGACATCTTCAGAGGCTAAACTGTGATTAATAGCCTGCAAAGAACCCTTTGAAGCGGGATTGGTGACATCAAAGTCGTAATCCAGGGGTGGCAGGAGCTTTATAATGAGTGGGAAGCATTTTAACACATTTCAAAGGATTTACAGCACAAATAAACAACAGATCCCAGCCCTGCCACACACACACACACACACCTTCCAGAAACATAACCTATAGAAACTTTCCATTTTCATTTATATGTAAATACAGTGTTCACACTCCTTTCAAATGTCAAGGGTCCTTGGTGCTTCACCCAGGACAGCATCTTCACAGCTGAACGTCCCTCCCGGCCCAGAGCCTCTGCCTGTGCTTCTGGGAAACCGTGATTACCGGTGTGTTTCCTGGGTGAGTCAGGAACCTTGTGTAGAGGCAGTGAAGAAACTGAGATCCCATGCGGGAATGTGAAGTGTTGCTCAAAGGCTCCCACCTCCTCACTCTGCTGCTCCCAGCCTTTAAGTTGGAAAGAGTCAGGTGGTTTAAGACAGAGGGGGCACCTTGAAAACTGGTTATTTCCTGCCTTCTGAGGAGTTTCACCTTCAGTTACCTCGAATGCGTGGTTGTTGTTTTCAGTAATTCCACATACCTCAGTGCCCTCTGCTGCCCCTCGGGGCTGTCTGAGCTTACTGCAGGGCGCTGGCAGCCCAGCCCAAGGTGAAAAGCACTCCTCCCTGTTTGTCTACCCTACAAAAGGCCTGTGCTGGTCCTGTCTCTGGCCGGGCTTCCTTTGAGGAAGTCTCCTGCCCAAATGATTGGTGATCGCTCACTGCAGGGTGGGACTTCTTGAAGGCTCTGTCGGTTCTTTCCCTAAAAGTATAAGCAAAGGCTGATGAGAGAGAGTTCTGCAAAGCCCCACTTCAACACCTCAACACAGCCTTTGATGGTTTCCCCCCCCCCCCCCCAGCTGTTGTTGGGTGATTCTTACCTGACCCTCACGGAGGGCCTCCCACCGAAAGACCTACCACATTCAAACTTGATTTCTCAACTAATTCTGACCCTGGCTTCCTTCCTCCAAAGCTTTGGCCAAAACCGTAGTTCGGGCTGACAATGTCTGGGGAGCTGGCTCAGGGCAGACGGGGGGGGG